TGAAGCGGAGGGCGAGCCGGTGGCAGGGTTGGGGACACGGGGATGGGGACATGGGGGGGACGGGGGGGATGTTCTTTAATTTCCGAGTGGCACCATGTAAATTGGGTTGCACAGAGCCAGCAGCCGGTGGGCGGCAAGCGCGAGGGGGGGACAAGGATGCTCTGGGGTGGGACAAGGACAGTCGGGATGGACAAGGATGCTTGGGAGGGACAAGGATGCTTGGGAGGGATGAGGATGCTCGGGGAGGGACAAGGAGGATGCTCAGGGAGGGAGGAGGATGCTCAGGGGGGGATGAGGACCCTGGGGACAAGGGCAGTTGGGAGGGACAAGGATGCTTGAGGAAGGATGAGGATGCGCGTGGAGGCCAAGGACAGTCGCTAGGGATGAGGACACTGAGGAGGGACAAGGATCTCAGGAGGGATGAGGAGGATGCTCAGGGAAGGATGAAGACCCTGGGGACAAGGACAGTTGGGAGGGATGAGGACTCTGGGGAGGGACAAGGATGGCTGGGAGGGATGAGGATGGTTTTAAGGGATGAGGACAGCTGGGGGGATGAGCATACATGGGAGGGACAAGGACAGGGACACTGCAGAGGGATGAGGGTGCTGGGGAGGGACAAGGAACGTTGGGGGACAAGGATGCTTGGGGGGACGAGGACATTGGGGAAGGACGAGGACGCCGAGGGGATGAGGATCGCTGCGGGGAAGAGGACACTTGGGAAAGACAAGGTTGCTTGGGAGGGACAAGGGGGATGGTCGCAGGGGGATGAGGATGGTGGGGAGGGACAAGGAGACTCAGGGGGTGGTAAGGGCAGTTGGGGAAGGATGAGGATGCTCAGGAGGGATAACGACACTGGGGATGAAGACAGTTAGGAGGGATGAGGACATTCAGAGGGTGCACAAGGACATTCAGGAAGGACAAGGTGGCTTGGGAGGGATGAGGACACTTGAGAGGGCCACGGATGGTCGAGGTGGGACAAGCATGCTGAGGAAGGATGTGGACGGTCAGGAAGGATGAGGACAGTCAGAAGGAGATGAGAACGGTCAACGGGGATGAGGACGGTCAGGGGGACAATGACCCTGGGGAAGGACAAGGACACTTGGGAAGGACAACGGTGCTTGGGATGGGTGAGGATGGTTGGGGGACAAGGATGCTGGGGAAGGAGGAGGACACTGAGGAGGGACGAGGACACTTGGAGGGGACAAGTACACTTGGGGAGGATGAGGACACTTGGGGAGGATGAGGATGCTGGGCAGGGATGAGGAATTTGGGGAGGGACGGGGACACTGAGGAGGGATGGGGACATTGGTGAAGGATGAAGACACTTGGGGAGGACAAGAACGCTGGAGAAGGAGGGACACCCACCCACCTTGGTGCGACCCACCCTTTGTGGGTGGCTTTTGCTAGCAAAGGACCCCTTTCTGGGGAACCACTCAATAAAGCTGGATTTTAGCCGAGCCGAGGGGACTCTGGCCTTGCCGCGTCCTACACCCTGGAGACTGCCACGCTCCTGTCCCTCCTGTCCTTGGCTCGCCACCCGCCCTGGCCCAGGGGCTGCCAATCCCTGTCCCGTGGCCACCTGGAAAGAAAAGGGGACATTTTCCAGCACCCCACGACAGGGTGACACCCCGCACCGCCCCCGGTGCCCATCACCCCGGCGTTGGGGCGCCGCTCACCATGCTGTGGGACGCCCACGGCCGCCTCCGTCCCGGCTCTCCATGGGACCCCCAGCGCTGTCCCCCAGTCCCAGGCAGGGATGGGGACCCCGGGCGAGAAGCCTCCCTCCAAGGGTGATGGTGGTGGTGAGGGACCTGCCGGGGAGAAGGCAGGAGATGGTGGCATCACCATGGTGTCAGGATGGGGCCACCTCCCCCAGGGAGGTGACAATGCTTGGGGTCAGAGGGGTGGTCCGGGGACGCTTCGCTCACCCCCGTAGCCCACATCGGTGTCCTCGAGGCTGAAGCAGAGCCCGTCGACGGCCACAGCCAGCGCCCGGGCAAAGCTGGCATCCAGGAGGAAGGAGCCATCACAGGAGCTCACCAAGCTGCAGCGGGCGCTGGCAAAGTTGTCCTCCGAGACAGACCCCCAGCCATTCAGCAGCGATCCCCCTGGAGAGCCCCTCATC